CATTTTCAGTTCCATAGCCGTGAATGGTTGATCCATATTTGTGAGCTCAGCAGAAGCAAGATTCAGTGGAGGAGTGGATTGAGGAGCCATGGGAGGGGCAAGACAGTTGACGAATTCATCAACCCAGTCCAAGTTGGTAGTATTACTAGAGCTGATTTTAATACCTGATAGCGCTCTGATTTTTCTCCAGACTGAGGATATTGGCGTTTCTCTGTTGAGGGATTCACAAAACTGGCGCCAGCTATTTTTTTATTTTCTTTTCTTTGAATATCCTTGTGCATCTGGCTGAAGCTCTTTTTACCTCTAAAAAGTTAGGCCAATTGGGATTATTTTTATAAATGGAATATTTTAGACGGCTTTCCTCCCAGATGGCTTTGCATTCCTCATCCCTCCAGTATTTGGGAGTGCGGCGTTTTCTTGACATTTTTAAATTGGTTGCTGTGTGCCGGTAAGAGATCGCGCTCGTAGCTGCCTGGTTCAATAACTGAATAAAATCAGAATAGTTTCTAGGCTCATTCGTAAGAAGCAGATTATTCATTGAGCTTCTATATAGGTCCCAATTAGCTTTGGATGTAATCCAACCCTCACGGGAAGGCGGTAAATGCCCCTCAGCATCGCATCCTGTAGTATAATTGATTAAAATACAAAGATGGTCAGAGCCAAGAGCATGATCTAGTACCCTCCAAGAGCAGTAGGGAGTGAGGGCTGGGTAGGTGACAGAAAGATCGGGAGCGGAAGGGTTACGATCAGATCTTGCGATGAGGGTAGGAGATCCATCATTGAGAAAGCACAGGTGACTATCATTAATAAATTCCAAGAAATTTCTACCTGCGCAGTCGGTATAGGAAAATCCGAAAACAATGTGGTGCACATGAAATCGCCACCCAGAAGAAAGGGAGTGGGGAGTTGTGAGATTAAGGAAGACCAATCATCGGGAGCTAAGTTAAGAGCAGGTTTGGCAAAAATAGAGGCAAACGTCACAGGGGATTGGTTGATATTGTGCGTAATTGCATATATTTGAAGACTATGGTTAAAATTATGAGTGAAATGTAGGATTTGATAATTGAACGACTGTTCTATTAAAATAACACAACCACCGTAACCATCATGACGATCGACGCGTATGAAATCGTATCCGCGAAAGGATAATTGGAGAGCAGGGTTGCACCAGGTCTCAGATAGAACAGCGATATGAATGTCGTTATCTAGCAACAAAACGTCAAGTTTCTGTTTATTTGCTTGTAGAGATCTTACATTCCACTGCAAAATGTGCATAGAAGGTAGAGCCATTAAAGGATAATATTAAGGGGAAGAAATAGATGCGGAAGAATATTCTGGAAATATAAAAATTCTTTTTTTTATTAGTTGAGTTTGGTTTGGAATAATTATAAAATGATTTTTTAATATTAATTTAGTTTTATCATGCTCATATACCGCATGTTGAAACTCCCATTAACACCGGCTAATTTTAAAAAGAATTACAAACCATTAAAACCTTGGTTAAAAACAATGGATATCAAGATATATTAATTGATAGGTTGCTAGTAAAAATTATAAAAAAATTAAGTTTAAAAGAAGCAGCAACCGGACTCAGCCACCCGACCAATAATGAATCATTAGGTTTTCGTTGCTTGCCATACATTGGTGAACTATCAGAAAAGGTATGTAAAATTCTTAAATTGGAAGGTTTTAGACTAACTTTTAGAGATATGCGTTCACGTAAAAACACAGCACGCTGTTCTCTATAACACTGCCCATTTTCTGGGACAGTAATGTAATGTTAGAAATAAAATATGAAAGAAAGTATGTTTACCTTAATATTTAATAATTTGTTTCAGTTTTAAGTACAAAATTACTTAAAATTGTAAAAATTACTTAACTTAAGTTTTAAGTAATAAATTATAAAACAATTCCCGTGATACCTAGGAAAATATATATTTGAGGAAGATGAAAAAAAAATTATTGGAAAGTAAAAAATTAGAGCAAAATAAACTAATTCCTGTCAGCCCGTTCAAATCTCATAGGTGAATCCACTTAACAATACTTTTGATAAATTCTACCGAAATAAAATTACAAGAAAAGGCTATCCCAAGATTCGAAATCAGAACCGTTGTCGCGATGATTTTGTGACATAAAAATTGTGATAAATAAAAAATGGCAATGAATATAGTCCAAGTAAATACTAAACCAATAAAAATTTGTGGTGATTAGTGACGGTTAGTCGATTATTATTCAGAAATCGTGAGATGCGGTCTGGTGTGACGTAGGTTTCAGAAAAACATTTTCTTTATTCTGCCAACGTTCGATCTTTATTGAGATCATCTTCAGGGCTCAAAGTGTTTGTTTTCTGCGTAATTGTGGGACACTCTCAACACGACACACAAGAATGGCACAATTACGCAGAAAACAAACACTTTGCGCTCTGAAGATGATCTCAATAAAGATCGAACGTTGGCAAGATAAAGAAAATGTTTTTCTGAAACCTACGTCACAACAGACTGCATCTCCCGATTTCTGTTATTTGTATGTTACACACCCTTTTACGTGCTATATCATTCTTTTATCATAGATAAATCTTGAATTTTACTGATGCTAGAGTATAAAATGAATAAGTTCAATACGAAAACATGCATTTTAAGTTTATAAAAAAGTTACGTATTGCAACAAATTAGTTTTTTAAGCAATTTTTTTCCACTTCTTTTATCCCTATTTTAATAAACGTATAATTGCTGTAATAACAATTTCCGGCTTTCCCCCTCGAAAGTCCTTTTAAGAGGATTAACGTGAAACCAGAGGGGAGTATAGAAAGTGAGCCGCCGCCTGAACCCTGGGCGTACACTTATTGCCTTCCTTTTCAAAAGATCTCGGGGATTTATCCGGCCCCGTTATTTAAAATAGACCAAACGGGTCATTAGCTGTATCATTTATGAAACGGGCAATCGGCCAGATAAGCCAGAGAAGGTTACCGTCTTATGCACGGCGTGTTAGGGCCGTTTATATGTCATGAAAGGCGCCATTTAATTGGAAGAAGAGATATTATTAAATGAAAACAACTGAAAATTTAATTCATCAAAAACACCTCTAAAACACATTGTAAATATTTTAACCTGTGTCAAGCAATTTATAAAACATTTCCATGTGCATAACTACTTTATTTGTAGAAAATATATTTTCATGACTGTTCTCGTGATCTGGAATTATTAATACAGTACAAAACATTTACATATACGAAAATTTCAGTCGTTTTCCTATTTGATTTTTAGTATCGACAGTTGAGTCGTTTGCGATTAATCTTGCATTTCTATCCTCGTTGTTTGTCAAATCATCCGTTTTTCATAATAAATAGTGGAAGGTTTGTTCAGTTATTTTATAAACCACTGACGATGTGAAGTTTAAACATATTGTGTTTCGGCTATTGCCGCAGACAAAAAAATAAAGCAAATAAAAATTATAATGAAATGAAAGTAAGTTGGTTCAACTAAAATTAATATTTAAAAAAAGTTGAAATTAAGCAATAATTTGGAATCTTCGAAAGGAACCAATTAGTCACAATGAAGAGCAAAGGTAAACGGATACTTACCACCAGTCACGAGTCGCCCTCGTCGGACGAATCGGCCTCCGCGTCGAGCTCGAGCGGGCCTCAGCCAGAAACAACGTGTTTTGCAAATCGTGATTGTCTCCAGCCAGTCTTCTCGGCCCCCTTTTGTGACTGTAAGCCGGCCCCGTCTTAGCAATAAGTTAAATTGTAAAATAAGAACAGAATAGGTAAACGAGGAAAGGTTGTCCTTTGAAGGGGCACCGCACAGATGGGAACGACGTGACACATCTGGCAAATATAGATGTAAGCGGCCCCCGTCTTAGCAATAAGTTAAATGGTAAAATAAGAACGGAATAGGTAAACGAGGAAAGGTTGTCCTTTGAAGGGGCACCGCCCAGATGGGAACGACGTGACACATCTGGAAAATATAGCTTAGACATGGTTACCCAGGTAGACAGCTAGGTAAGAAAGGGGGACATCGTAAATTGGGAATACGTCAACGCTGTGCTAGACTATTACTTCCTACCGATGTCGAAAGGAACCACGGAAATGGCATTACAGCGAAGAATCACTGTCCTTCCTCTCAGCCGAATACCAGAGCGGAACATAGTACTTCACCGGTACGACGTAGACTCAGCCCTCATCGAATTGGAAAAAGATGGGAGGGTCGATTCTAGCCGATGGAGTACTACCGAAGTACGGCTAGACGCTTTAGCAAAATCATTGGACCAGCTGGCAGAAGCCAGATTCATGAAGCGAACCGCCACTTGGGTCGGAGCGAGTGTCGCTTTAGCCTCTCTACTTGTAATTGGAGCTGCAGCAGGAATTCGCTACTGGACCAGCCGTAACCACAAAAAGGACGAAGGCCCGGAAGAAGATATAATTCTACGGGAGCCGACAGAACCACGGGCCACGACGGATCGGAATTAAGTAATAGAAACAGGAACTCTAATTAGTCTAGTGAACTGTAGAATATTAGTGAATTTGTGTTAGAAGTAGTGATTAGATATGGTAAGTGTTGCGCTGTAAGGCAACACTTGTTAGTGGCGGGGGTGATGTAAGCCGGCCCCCGTCTTAGCAATAAGTTAAATTGTAAAATAAGAACAGAATAAGTAAACGAGGAAAGGTTGTCCTTTGAAGGGGCACCGCCCAGATGGGAACGACGTGACACATCTGGAAAATATAGATGTAAGCGGCCCCCGTCTTAGCAATAAGTTAAATTGTAAAATAAGAACGGAATAGGTAAACGAGGAAAGGTTGTCCTTTGAAGGGGCACCGCCCAGATGGGAACGACGTGACACATCTGGCAAATATAGCTTAGACATGGTTACCCAGGTAGACAGCTAGGTAAGAAAGGGGGACATCGTAAATTGAGAATACGTCAACGCTGTGCTAGACCGCCGTCTTTTTCGGCCCCGCCGCGGCGTGAGATCTCCCCCCGACTTTTGAGTTTCCTCTTCATCCCCTACCCCGGGAGAGACCCGGTATAAATGGGATGACTGGAAAATCAGTGAAGCAGACAGTCAACAGTCAAGCTGCAAGACTCACCCCAGTGAGTCAAGATCCGAGAGTCACCCCAGGCAGCCAAGACCGAGGACCGGGAGAGAAGCAGCCATACTCCGTCTGGGATTCAACAAGAGGACTCAGCCAGCCAGAGCCAGCGAGGACCAGCCGTTGCGACCATCGAGCCAAGTCAGAGGTCGAGAGAAGAGATGCTGTGAACACTGATCGTGGCGAGCATCGTTTGGGGTAAGTCCCTTTGTTGATAGACTCATCCCAGATTTAGAGTTGTGGCTGACTTGCAGATTAAGTAAGATTCCGAGGTTTTTAAGATTAAGAGAAAGACTTGTGTACAATAAATGTTACTGAATACTGTCTCTGGTTTATTGAATTCTGGAACCTTACCTTCCCCTACGCAAGAATAAGTAGCGTCGCGCTTACGCCGACTAATCTCTTGTCGCTTAGAGAAAAACAAGCGAAGATCAAGAGATAATTCGGCCGCCGCGCCGTCGTCCGCTTACATGACCAATATTGGCTACTTGCACGGACTCGTTTGATGAAGAAATAAAATTAAAATAAAACTTAAGAATAACGGAGACAATCGTTAGAATCGAGGGAACGGAAGAGTGTACAGCCTTCTCTCATGCCTTGAGAACAACAGCTGGCTTAACCGAAACCCCCTCTTTAAGATCAACGGTCACCTTTAACTGTGATTCAAATCAAATTACTTACTGGCGTAAACATATTGTCTGAAAGACAATAGGAACGAATAATTTATAAATCTGTTTGCGGGTACTTACAATTTGTTCTAAACTACAGTTTTTTCTCGATGTTCAGTGGTCGTCTCATGCTAATAAGAGGAGTTCGACATGACACAATAAACTCAGACGAAATGTGTTCCCAAAAGTTCTTTTCACTCGATCACAGCACTACCATTAATCAAAGCGCTACACTTTGATGACACATTCCATGAGAAACTAGCCAAGTCATGCCATTATGACTAGAAATGACCTAACTACGATACACACTTATTTCTATAAAGGCAATTTTACTGTCTTCTTTCAATGTCTTCTTATTAGTCGACCGCAAGTTTTTCATTAGAAACTAAAAGTTAACTATTCTATTAACACTATTAACGAACAGCCCTCTTCTCCACTCTGGCTCTGTCTCTCTCTCTCTCTCTCTCTCTCTCTCTCTCTCTCTCTCTCTCTCTCTATATATATATATATATACGTTCTTAACTTCTAGGAAATTTAGACTTTTGTAAAACAACTGTGAGGGGGCGGTAACTAATGTTAATTATTTGTGCCTGATTGTGGGACATGGCAGTGTCACGTACTCTTGGCGTCTCTCACACAATTCACGTCCTGGTTGACGTGGCTTTTATGAAATAATTCCAAGTCAACTGCCGTATTTTCCTGTTTTCCTCCGTCCGATGCCGGACCACAAATCACGGCAAATCGGCTTCCGGTCGTGCTTTTTAATAGTAATTCTATGCAAAGCCTTTTCCGCAGAGATTAGAAAAAAGTAGGCTATAAGTGTTTCGAAGCGGCTAACCTACTTGTAATTCTGGGTTCGACAGTGTTACCGGGACCCCCCAACTTCCCCGACGGGGTAATTCAAGATTAACATTGTGTTCTCTATTTGCTTTTCTAATCGTTTCTTTGGCGGTGGGCCCGGCACTGGAAATTGCCATGGAATTGACATTCATGTCGGCCCCTGCGAAAAACTCTTAGCCTGATTGCATTGAACTGTGTGACTAACTTAATTAATTGAGCCCACGGCTCCCGAAAAGCTTTGCCGGTTTTTAAAGCCCTTTGACCGAAAAAAATATTCTTTGGCCGATTGCTGTGTAGCATTGAATTTACGTGGGAAGATTCCAACCATCTTTTTTTTTTACTTTTTGTTTCTCTTGCGATTTGGTAAAGTGGATAATTATCTTTTAATCTTCAAAAATCAGAATTATCACAAAGTTTTTAAAAGTAAAATAATTATGAATTGCTCTTTGACAGACAAAGTAGTACATAATACTTCTTTTTAAAGGAATTAATAAAATTGAAGAATGGATTCAAGGCGATTGAGACCAACGTCCAATGGTGAGAATGAAGATGAGATTGCCCTTCTTCGTTCTTCACTCTATTGTGCTTCAATGACAATGATCATCCGTCTGTTAAAGTAAAGTTTACGTCAAATCACACCTTCTAGTAGAAAGTTTGGTTTTCGAGCAACAGCCTTAAATATGCCCTCTGAACTGCTTCTGATTGCCAATTTAAGGCTTCGTTTACTCTTAAAGATTAACAGAACCGTTTGAAATCTTTGTTTCAGCATAACAAGAATGTTCGTTAAGTCCGATTTTCTTGCTATTTATCTATGAATTTGGCATTTATTTAGACGTTGGTATTAAAGTAAAGACAAACAGATAAAACACATCTTATTTACTAAGTTTAGGGCAAACATGACAAAAAAAATACTAAAAATCTCAATGATTTTTTTATTTGGGTCAAAATTATTCAGGCTTGTTTGCATTTATTAGCGTTTAAAAAACATTCTATGCAGCTATATAATTATTTAAGTTTCAAAGCTTTCGAATATACAAGTATAACATTGACACAGTCTAGTCAGTTCACATCTTTTTCTCTACACAAAATTTTATCGATGAATTTTTTTGTAATTTTTGTTTGTAAATTTAACAAAATTTCAACCAACTTTTTTTATATTGAATATTTATACAATATTTTAAAACCCTCCAGCACTATGTGAAGGCCGACTTTTTGGCGTCTTCACTAGCGCTTTCTCGTAAATATCCTACTTTGGTTTTGGTGCTAGATTTTCGTACATTTTTGCCGGCATCTTGGCTAAGAATTTCTGCCCTTCTTTTCTGCTCTAAGATTTTTTTTGAGATCTTCAGAACTGAGTTCTTCCGATTCGTTACCGAGAAAATAACTTGTACGATGGACACGACAATGGACTGGCCTCGTTGAATGCGATTATTGCGTGTAAACGCGACAAAACAAGAGCTGCACAACTGTGATAATCGATAGTTACATAATGTCTTAACCATTTAAAAGAGCTCTCGATTCCACTAAAATATCATAAAGACGGTTAACTATTTTATAAACCTTTTGAGTTTTCGCTTCTCCTGAAAATTGAGTTTTCACGAATAAAATTGTACCTTTCTTCTAATGTTATATTGAATTTTTAGAACCAATAGGTATACGATTTAGAATAGCAATAATTAAAGGATTTTAAAGATAGTGTACTGTTTATTAAAACAGAAAGATTCAAGTTAGAAAAAATTGATAGTTTCCTCCAAACGTATTGTCAAAGTAAAAATAATTACATTAAGAACTGTTTGTAATAACTTAATAACTGATAATAAATATTAAGTTTTAATATTTAATTAATATGTAATACAAAAATACCTTGCATTTAGAAAATGTGGACATCATTTTTTTACTTGCAATTGTCATATTATCCCCTTCATTTATTTACGACGATGATGATTAAAACAAAAACCATTAAATTCATATAATCAATTATGTTAGCTCGAGATGGGTACAAAGAAATAAATGAGTCCCCCTTCAATATTAGAAAGTATAGCGCTAACCCTTTAGTCAGGAGAGGAAGGCAAGTGAAAAGCAGGTAGCCAAGAAAGGGCCGTTGGTCATGTATAAACGAGGGTTGATTTTGTGCATGAAAATGTTACCCCAAAAGTACAAAAAGAGAAAATAGAAGAAATGGTTTGGATGGCCGGTGGAGAAGAGAGGTGGACGAGAGGAGCGAGATGGGCAATGACTGGAGGCGAGTTAGTCCGTCAGGTCCGAGGAAAAGGACTCAGGATTTTCATCTTCGTAAGTCACTAAGGATAACCTGGATCGTGTGATCAGGATGGGTTTTTGTCTCCAATAAAGAGGACGATTTTCTCACCGTCAGATCCCGCCCAAGAAGGCTTTCCGGATTAACCGTCCGATGGACTCAACGAACAGCAGAAACAACCACCTGAAGTTTTGTGTTTTCGACATTAACGAAGCCTATATACATTGTTTTCCTGATAATAGCATTTAATAGTGCACGCTTAGTTATGTAGTTTTATTGGTCCATCAACTATAAAAGGCTATTCTAAATTTTCTCGACTGTCTCCAATGAGTGACTGCAAACTTTTTTCGTCGATTTTGTCCGTAACCGAAATCTAACGTTAAAATAAAACCAAAATATCTAAACCAGCTTAGAACTTATTAAGCGTTGTTGTCTTCTAAATCCCCCAGCTGGTAAAGCTCTTCTGACACACCCGATCTCTAAACTATCACTAACTATCACTGAACCAAAAGCACGCCCACAACATACGATTACAAAGTAATTACTAAAACAAGGTAACTTGTCTTAAAATTAAAAGCATTGAACATTTATTAAAGGAAAATCCGGCACGTTTTCTTGACATATTTTTGATAGCACCATTTTCTATATAAACAATCTTCCATACAATAATTTTTATTTATACAATTTTTTTAAAGAGTTTGGTTTGGCAAAATTGTTTTTAACATACAAAGGTCAGATAAAAATGATTGCACGTAGTCTAAACCGTGAAAATAAACTTTCAATTGAAAAAAGAAATACTTAGAAATTAAAACAAGTTTATTATATACATTACTTCAGTAATGAAACCAACTCCCTCAGCACGGTCACTGCAGTCCATGACCCGTCGACTCTCTCGTTGTGCTCTGGTTCAAGAGATACCACGCGAGTTGTGGCATGTCGGCAGAATAGTAGTTGTTGTCTGGATTTTTGGAGGAAACAAGGTTGTTTTATTAAATGTAATGCTGATAGTTTTATGTCCCTGGCGTATGTGAATATATTTATTGGCGTGAATATGTAGCGTGACAAGGAGATGGCGAAATAGTGATTACCCTATCGATCCTCAATTAGATTAGTTATATAATTGGTGTATAGCGCAATGGGGAAACATGGATTACTCCACCTTCGTGTCTGAGTGATTAGTATGTAAATGAGAAAGAAGGTAAGTGTTTAAGAATGACTGCGAGTGAATGAATGTTAAAAATGAGCTAGCTGTTGTGAGCTCCTGGTACCCAACGTCCGCGGCTATAGAGATAAGATCGAGGTGGATGATTCTCGAGGAATGTCCGTAATTTATTGTAGATTACAAAAGCTGGGATTGATGGTGGCCTACGAAAAGTGAAAGGTTCAACTCTGTATGATTATTATTTGTATGTCGTGATGTGCGGTCTGGTGTG